TTTTGAGTCTGCAATAGGGATGAACAATTAAAAATCTAATTAGTCCGTAAGTTAGGTAATGTACAAATATTAGACACGATTTTTTATTTTGTGGTACATAAGAAAACAATACTTAGATAAAACGAATCAATGTTTAGGAGTGGGAGGTAGCTACGTCATTTTAGAGTATTATAAATCGTACTCAAAAGTGACGTCACGCGACTTTTAAAATCAATATATCGTGGAAAGTATTCGTTTCTGTAAGAAAATAAAAAATACGTGTAAAAAAATAATTTACCAGACGGACATTAAAATAAAAATTTGTTATGTACTCTATTGTATCCGATACCTAAATTGTATATATTATAGATGGAAACGTTCCCTATTCCTCATCGTTCGCTTGATAAAATTGACGTGTAAAAGTGCTGCCTTGTAGCCTATTTGCAGAAATAAATTCATTTGTTTCACTATTCAAATCCTGCTAATATAAATGCAGAAGTTTGAAATGGGTGGAACTCTGGAAAATTGACCTTTTTAGCATAGACATGTTGTCAGCGTCTCTCTTCTAATTCTTCTGTTTTAATCTTTCAACTCAATGTTTTTATTACTTCTACTATCACACCTTTATCGTCTTTTTTATATTTTATTTATGCTGCATCGTGCTTTCTTCTTTCTTTCTTTCTTTCTCCCTCATGTATGTTTGTTACTCTTTCACGTCGAAACGGCTGAAACGATCGGGATAAAATTTTGAAATAAGTATAGATTATGGTCTGAATTAACACAGATTACTTTTCATCCCACGGGAACGCGGGCGAAGCCGCTGGTAGAAGCTAGTAAGACATAGCTAAGTGGTGAAAAATCAGTATACTCTGTCTACCCCTTCTTGGTATAACAAGCGTATCTAATAGTATTACATAATGTATTTAGTTCTCAGCTTCTAATAATACTAATCAAATAAGGTCCATATTCGCATGACAAACTCAAGTTGCTTACGACATTTGAGAATTGGAATGCGAAGAAAAACGCTACTCAATGCGGAATTAATGTGATCGTGTTCGTTACCTGTTAACCTAATTTACATTCTATGTACATATCTATAGTTGCATGGAAAAAGTTGATAGGTTTTTTAAGTTAGTTTTTATTTGACGATAGAGTAAAATACATGAAGCGCAAGGAGTTGCCGGGGCTCCGGTTTTGTAGACACAATTATAGAACAATAGGTTGCGGTCCCCGGTGACCGCTTGGTGTTTGACAGTTTCATTAACTCTAAACTTAATTTTAGTATCTTCCAGCAAACTTTTAAGAAATAAGTACGCTGTTTGACGCTAAAAAACGTGACGTCATAATACACAATCTCGTACAAAATACATAGAAAACCGTCGTTTTTGACAGTTCGTAAAAAGTATTGAATTTGACTAGTTGGCAAGTACCGTAATGATCTCGGTTTGTCGTGGAGAACCTAACGGGTAACCGGGGCTCCGACTCGACGTGCAGGAGAAGGAACGGGGTGGTTTTTAGTCAGTAAGAGTCTGACACTCCCTCCCGCCTCACCCAGGTGGGAGCAGTCATTCGATGATTTTACCCCCTAAAAAAAAATCCACTGTGGCTTGTCGTAATCCCTTGATGATACACGCATTTGATTTGAAAGTAAAATATAAGTAAATGCATCGTTTCGCCATACTTTGAGCTCATTGTATCGTGAATAGTGACGCAATGCGACCATTATTATACAGACACTAGTTATTGGCTATATATTTCTTACTTTATGTGTATGTGGGAACTAGATACCTTTTTATATCGCGAAGGAAATCCTCATTTTTTTATGGAATAGTAGGCCTAGACTGCATCATTGGCCGAGTGGTCGCAAGTGCGACTTCCGGGCAAGGGGTCTCGGGTTCGATTCCCATGTTGGGCAAAGTATTACTGAGTTTTTAAAAATTCTCAGTAGTAGCACGGAGTCTGGAATTGTGCCCGGTATATGGCAATAGGCTCACCCCCTATTACATGGGACTCATAACATAAATAGTGAAAAGTGGGTGTTACATTGTAAAGTGGCATTAAGTGCCGTAATGTGCACCTCTACCTACCCCTTCGGGGTTAAAAAGGGCGTGATGTTATGTTATGATACGTAATTATTGATTGAAATTGAGATTGGTTTCACGAGTAAGCACCTAGAACACAATCAAACTGAAATAAATCTTATTCTTATTCTAAAGAGGGACGCAAATTGTAAGTTATATTAAAATTTTAAAACGAAACTATTTTTTTCAAATAGTAGAACTAGTCGCACTGTTATCTGTCATAGAATTCCGTTATCATATTAGTTCTTGTTATCGTCGTATTTTTAAAATTGTTTTCGAAAACTAGTTGATAAGCTATCGTTCGTCGTAATCGTTTTTTGGAACTATGATAAATGGTTCATAGGTACAAGCCCTTATCGTCTGTACTTAAATAGTACACAGCTACTATAACCAGCGACTTTAGACGAAAAAAATATGTCATTTTTTACCCTGGTCCTATAAAACAAATCGGGAAAGTGCTCCCTATATACATACATCACCTCACGCCTGTCTCCCATGGGGGTAGGCAGAGACTAAGGAACGCCAATTACTACGATTCTTCCATACCTCTTTCGCTTCAATAACAGTCATCAATCTTTTCATGCATGCTCGTCGGTTAAGGGTACTTTTAATTTGGCCCTTCTTTAATATACTGCCAATCTGGTCACTATATGTCTGTTTAGGGCGCCCTCTACCGACCGCCCCATTCATATCCGCTCTGTATACTTCTTTCGTTACTCTACTTTCATATATCCTTTCTACATGTCCAAACCAGCTCCCTACATTCCTTAAGAAATCTAATTTATATCTATACATAATAAAAAAATCGTAGAAAGGTCAAAACTGTATATTAAATACTTGGAGCGTGATCTACAGCAATCAATACCGAAAAATATGGTTTTTAGAATTTTTGTCTGTTTGTCTGTTTGTATGTATGTCCGGGATGATCTCAAAAAGTACTGCATGGATTTACTTCAAATTTTGCATGAATATTACTAACAAGTCCGGTCAACATATAGGCTATATATTATCACGCTATCATCTACGGGGGAGGAGCCCTATACTAGTATAAGTTTTAATCAATTCTGACTACATTCGGTACCGTAGAATATCCCTCGATAAAGACTAATTCAAAAGCGCTCGATACTCTTATGTTACGAATGCCATAGTTATTTGGCTTGGCAGCTGTTCACATCGCTTCGCTGACGTACGATTTTCCCTTTTACCTTCATCTGAATTTCTCACGGATATTTGTAAATCAAATTGATCCAAATCGGCACAGCCGTTCCCTACTTTAAGTCTGACGTACGAACATAATTAATTATTTATTTATTTCTTTATGTATATGTAGATTGACGGCACGTGTAAGTTTTGACTTCTGACTTTTTTCGGACCCTTCGTATTGGAATAGATAATGTGACATAGCATTATATTAACTATATATTATCGTCTTATATTAATGGGAATGATGACAGGGTATGAAAATTAAAAATCTATTTAGTCCGTAAGTTAGGTAACGAAAAAAATTAGACACGTATTTTTTTATTTTGTCAACGCGTTCAAACAAAAAAACAAACTTTCCAGCTTTATAATATTATGTAGTATAGATTAAGATAGTTGCGTCCGATTTCAATCTGTCGTCTGTATCTGTACTTATGGAATAAAATGAAATAAAAATTATCCTCTTGCTTTTTGATCCTTGAGTGGGAAGACATACAAATATTTATACAATGTAAGCTTCTGGTCACCTGGCGGATGGTGGCCCAACGACATCCTAATCTATATCTATATTAATATTATAAAGCTGTTGTGTCAAAATCGTTCCAGCCATTCCAGAGATTAGCCAGTACAAACAAACAGACAGACAGACAAAAATTGTAAAAAATGTTATTTTGGTATGTGTATCGTATACATACGATGATTCATAGGCATGTAGTAAAAAATGGTTATTCTAAATACTAACGACCCGCCCCGGCTTCGCTCGGGTCCTCGGGTGCAATATGCATGTATTATACACATAAACCATCCTTAAGAATCACTCTGTATATTTAAAAAAACCGCATCAAAATCCGTTGCGTAGTTTTAAAGATCTAAGCATACATAGGGACCGACAGACAGTGGATAACGACTTTGTTTTTAACCGACTTCAAAAAAAGGAGGAGGTTCTATATTTTTCTTTAAGGGGGGAAAATCATCGAATGACTGCTCCCGCCTGGGTGAGGCAGGAGGGAGTGTCAGACTCTTATTGACTAAAAACCACCCCGTTCCTTCTCCTGCACGTCGAGCCGGAGCCCCGGTTACCCGTTAGGTTCTCCGCGACAGGTTCTATACTATGTAGTGATTACAAACAAATAGCTGTATGTCTACACATAGGTGTAAATACTTTAATAGCCACGTATCTAGGTGTATCGATGTTTTTTTAATATTTCAAGGTTTTAAACTTATCGGTATATATGTTGGTACTTGGTAGTTTTTAACGCTGAAGCTGTCAAAGTACATAACAGCATTTGTTGTCAGCTTTAACTATTTTCGAAGGGGCCCAGTTAGGGATAGTTATTCATTATTATATTTTCACAGGGTCAAATGTATTACTATAACACACATAAAGTCACGTCTCTTTATCCCCGATGGGGTAGGCACAGGTGCACATTACGGCACTTAATGTCATTGTACAATGTAACACCCACTTTTCGCTGTTTATGTTATGAGTCCCATGTTATAGGGGGTGAGCCTATTGCCGTATACTGGGTAGAATTCCAGACTCCGTGCCACTACTGATATTTTTTTAAAACTCCAGTAGTACTTTGCCCGACCTGGCAATCGAACCCGAGACCCCTTGCCCGGCAGTCGCGCTTGCGACCACTCGGCCAACGGGGCAGTCGTAATTTGTCCTACCCCATTAATTATTAAATAACTTATTTATTTGAATTTTTATTAATAAAATTATTTCTCTTGTTCCAGGTACCATACCACCGGAATAAACATTCCAAATTAGCAAAACATATGTACCTAAAAGTGAAATTATAGATTTAAGTCTAGATTTAAAGGTTAGACCAAAATTCTTAGCCAAACTCCTTCAATCGACACTGATGACCTGCCTTTTCCAAACCAAAGTTTTAAAATTAATTTATTTTTGGACATTAACAAGATATTGAGGATGATGACTCCGCAACAGTATTGTTTGAGATGGAAACACCATCACACCAACGTCCAGAACATGTTCGCACAGCTCCTCGAGAAAGGTTAGTATCAAAAGAATGTGTAGGTATTACTTACTACCTACTATGTATTTTTTTTTTGAAGGGGGTAATCATTTTTTTTATGGCATAACCCGGTAATCTAGCATACGGATCACCTGATGGTAAGCAATCGGCGTCGCCCATGGACACCTGGAACACAAGTGCGTTACTGGCCTTTTGGGGATTAGGAGTTTGAGGATCGTTGGGGATTCAGGAATTGGGGAGATTGGGGAAGGGGAGGGTAATTGGGCCTCCGGTAACCTCACTCGCACGGCGAAACACAACGCAAGCGTTGCTTCACGTCGGTTTTCTGTGAGGCCGTGGTATCCCTCCGGTCGAGTATGACGAAGTATGGCTCTCCCACATATACTTGAAACAATTACTTTAAGCGTGGAACAAGCTCGTACTAGGGCCTCAGAACGGTATTTATTTTCATACGGGACGTCCGAGGACACGCTACAAGACTGGTGTAATGTGAGAGACATAATCCTTTGTAAATTAAAGGTGGTATCACTCCGGTCGAGCCGGCCTGTCTTCTGGCTCCTTGGGTGATACGAGATGGAGTATCAGACTCTTACTGACTAAAAACCACCCCGTTCCTACTTCTGCACTTCGAGCCGGAGCCCCGGTTAAGTCCTCCGCAGATGTATTATTTGTCTGGAGTCCACATTATATGCATTATAAAAGAGTTAAAATGTGCATGCAATTATGCACTAGAAAGCCTGAAATATTTACTTATTTATTATTGTGATGTTAACACGGCTGTACACCAATTACATTAACACACATACAAAGAGAAATCAAAGAGAGTCACACAGTAACAATATTAGAAAAAGAAGAAAAAAAATTACACATAAATAAATATCACGTTAAAATTCAATTATTAAAATTATTAAAAACATAAAAAATCAGACAATTACAATAGTAGATGACAAACAAAAATGTACCTACATCACAATAAAATAAAACAAAAAAAAAGAAAACAAAACATTTAATTATACACTTCAACACAGACTTCAAAGACTTTCACAAAAACTGAGACAAACATTTTTAATAGCTTTAAGCTCGTCCATGAATAGGTCACAGTCGGGGTAGGCTTCCATGAGGCTATTATAGGCTATTTATGAAATTCTAGCTTTTACCCCCGCTTAGCTCGCGTCACAAAAGGATAAAAAGTAGCCTATGTGAAATACACACAGCGCCATCTATACCAATAATTTCGTTTTCTCTCGAGAATATCAAAATTTTCCGGGATAAAAAGTACCCTATTATTTAATCCAGACTTCTAACTTTACGTCTGCAAAAATTCAAAGCAATCGGTTTAGTAGTTACGGCTTGAGAGTGGAACAAACAAACTCACTTTCCCATTTATAAATAGTATAAGGATGCAAGTTTGGGAGAGCCATGCTCCGGCACGAATGGGCCGACTCAACCGGAGTGATACCACTTCTACACAGAAAACCGACGTGAACCAACGCTTGCGTTGTGTTTCGTCGTGTGAGTTACAACAACATAGACATTGGGGCTCAAGATTAGTTTGACATCGTGGTATAATGTAGATACTACAGGATTTGAAGCCTCAACTCGCATTGAGCAAGCGTGCTGATTAATGCATAAACCTTCTCCGTGTGAGAAGAGGTCTTTGGTCAGCAGTGGCCACTTATAGGCTGTTTATATGTGATGTGTGTCACAAATAACCTGCTTCTCATGAAGGTTTAATGAACCCGGTTGCAAAAATGTCTATTATTTTCAAAAGACTTTGTTTTAGCATTAAAATTTTAAAAATAAAATTAAAAACATACACTATCGCAGAGGGTAACAAACTTTGAAATTCTCGAGACAAAAATAGATTCATTAAATTAATTTTGGCTGTAAAATAAAAACGAAGATAACGAGAAAAAAAACATTCGCAGTTTAAAATTATAATTTTCAAAAATATATATTCGAAAAGCCGGTTGCGACTAAATTAAGAATACCGGTTTTAAAAACGTTTCGTATGAGATTTTTTTTAAGTTTTTTTTTTTATCTTTACACGTGGGTTCGAGGTCTTTGCAAAATAGCTACAAACTTTTTAAATAAACTTGAGGTCAAATTTCGAAACACATTTGAATAGAATGGCTAAAAATAGACTCACAAACTATGTTTCAGTTTATATTAGGTATCTAAATGTATATATGTAATGGTGTTAAAACCAGTCGTAAACGTGGCTAAAAATAACTCGTATTTAAATATAGATTGCTAGAATGGCCCATAAAACTAGTCTACATAAATAATACGCCAATTAATGAACTTTTAAATAAATAAAAATTTCAACTTTTTGTTTTAGTTAATAACATAAAATGCTTAAATAAAATGTAATTCACAATTCACGTAAAAATGGTAATAAACAATAAAAATATATCGTTTAGTTGCCACACTATAAAATCTGATTTAAAATGCAAGATTTTTTGACATGGCAACATTAGCATAGCATACCAACTTCGTTTTAAATTTAGAATCAGGTGCTAGCTTCCGCCCGCGGCTTTACTCGCACAAGGTTAAATATTTGCATAATTATAATATTTTTTATCGATTTTGAAATTCTTTGCCAATTAGCGTGGAGCTTGTGAATTAATTTTTGAAATGTCAATAACGATACACAGATTCTTTCTTCATTAAAAATATATTTTCTTTGTAAACGTAATTTTTTACTTACCTACACTTGGAAGTAAAGAAATAACATAACATCGCACTTTTTTATTCCCGAAAGGGGTAGGCAGAGGTGCGCAATACGGCACTTAATGCCACTACAAGGTAACACCCACTTTTCACTATTTATGTTATGAGTACCCATGTAATAGAGGCTGAGCCTATTGCCATATACACAATTCCAGACTCGGCCTTACGACTGAGATTTTTTTTTAAATCAGACCACCACAGATGGTGCCCAGTAGAGCTGATGCCGATACGGAGCCGCGGAAGGCCTAACGGGTTGCCGGGGCTCCGGCTCAAAGCATGAGTAGGAACGGGGTAGTTTTCAGTCAGTCTGACACTCCCTCTCGCCTCCAACAAGGCTGCTATTTAATGATTTCCCCTCTCAAACGAGTCTATGTTTCCTGACGGATATTATAACCTGGGAGTCTTCAAGGCCCGGCTGAATAGGTTGCTTATGGCCAGACGTGCTCCATCGGAGACCGCATCATTCCGTACCACCAGGCGAAATACCGCGGGCAGAGCAAGGGCAGTGACAAATGACAAACGTAGTTACCTATTCTACTAACTGCTGAACATAGTACATCCAATCTCCATTAGCCGGCTGGAACTCGAAGCTATAAGGAAGATTACGGGGTATGAAAATTAAAAATGTAATTAGCCCGTCAGTTTGGTAATGAAAAAATATTAGACACGTATTTTTTATTTAGGTCCTATAGGAGAAATAATACTTAGATAAAACAAAAGTTTAAGAGTGGGAGCTAGCTACGTCATTTCTACGTATAAAACGCACATAGAAGTGACGTCACACGAAATTTTAAATCAATGTATCGTCGAAAGTATTTGTTTCCGTGACAAAATTAAAAATATGTGTTTATTGTTTTGAAATAATGTACCAGACGGACGTTAAAATAAAATTAGTCATCTACCCTATTAATGTTTGGTGAACTTAGGGCTCGTACACAAAACTGCGATGCGATGTCGCATCGCAGAAATGTGCGAGCTCCCTTTACACATCCCAAGAACTTGCGAATTCATTCGCATCGCGCATCAAGATCTGATCTTCCTAAAATCTTCTTTGTTTCTTTTTCCTGTATCTCCTAACCAATAACAGAACACACACATGCACACTTCTTTTTACGATCCATGTCACGACCTAGTTTTCTATTTAAAATACGTTTAGTACAGTTGACGGTCATCGAAGGAATGGTCGCCCTGGGAGACGCCTTGTCGCACGAAATCGCATCGCAGCAATTTGCATCGTAATTTTTTGCTTTGCGAATTCGCATCGCAGTTTCGTGTATGAGCCCTTAGGTCTAAAAATAAATCTGGAATTGCATGGAACTAATGACTTAACTGATGAACCGTGGAGGTAAATAAACGTTTTTCCCAACGAAATCTTTGTTGCGATGTCAGATCGTACGCGTAGGCAACACGGACATTAATATGCCTACATTTTGTATCTGTAATCGTTTCTATAAACTAGTTTTGTGACTATTGTCTGAGGTCAAAAAATTCTAAAGCCGTACATGTATAGCTATCTGATGTGTATGTGAACTTGTATGTTTGTAAACGCACCCACGACACAGGAGAAAAATTGCAGTGTAGGAAAACGCTTTTAAAAAAAATGGGATAGGTTACTTAGTTGCTAATACTGTCGTATCTTATACTACTATATAAAGCTCAACAGTTTGTTTGTTTGTTTGAATGCACTAATCTCATTAACTCCGGGTTCGAATCGAAAAATTCTTTTTTTATTGAATAGACCATTTATCGAGGAAGGCTTTAGTTTACATAACATCACGCTACGATCAATAGGGGCCGAGCAGAGCGGGTGAAATCGCGCGGAAGTAGCTAGTATTTCAATAATTATTTTATAAGCTACGTTTAATTTTTTTCCCCCCTTAAAAAAACGTTTAAAAAAACCGACTTCAACATCTTCTTTTTTTGAAGTCGGTTAATTAATACACTAAAACCTTTTCCTAAGTGTAAAATACAGTTTTCAGAAAACCGCATCAAAATCGGTTCAGCCAGTCCCGAGATAATAGCGCACAAACACATACATTGAGGTCAAACTGAGAATGTCCTTTTTTCTGCACGAAGTCTTTTAAAAAATGTATTTAGGTAGTCCGTTCTAAAGCACCTTCAGATGACATTTTAGATATTATTCTAGATCATAATTTGGTTTTAAGGTCGTCAATTTGAAATGCGAGGTCTTCGACTCCTGAGGCCTTAGTACGAGTTTAATTTACGTTTAAAGTATTCGAAACGAGACCGCGTTCGGCACTCTGATTGGCCGGCGCCAATGAAGC